AGTGGCCATAGCCTGCTTCTCGTACACGCACCAACAGAAGAAAAAGAAAAGGCACAGCATACAGAAGAAGCACTCAAAGGATGTAGTAATATCACATAGTCAGTATTTTGCTTTTTTCTTTCTTTTTTTTCCTCAAACATTTAGGGTCATCTAGAGCGGGAGTTGATGACGGGCGATCGTGGCCCGTTGTTGTAAAATAATAATAATAATAATAATAATAATAATAATAATAAAAAAGAAAAAGACGGGCGATCGTGGCGCCATCAACAAAGGCGCGAGAAAATTGAAGGATACATCGCCATATAAGTTTTGTCTTTTGTGTTGTGGGTGTGTGGTGCGGCGAGGCCCTCAGGGTCCCAGCCCACTCTGGAAGGAGAATTCCCAAAGGATTCCAAAACTATGTACGTCAACAGTTCATCGGTGTGCCAACGGCGCTACCTTCTTCCCCTAAATACAACGTACGGTCATTATCGCTGTATCTAGACTGAAAGATGCCTCAAATACAGCTATAATGGCCGTACTTCCTATTCGGGGGAAGAAGGTAGGGCCCATTGTGTTTTCGGACGCGCATTTGTTTCCTCGGACCAGCGCCGTCGGGAATTTCTGTGCTGGTCGGCTCTCTCTCTCTCTCTCTCTCTCTCTCTCTCTCTCTCTCTCTCTCTCTCTCTCTCTCTCTCTCTCTCTCTTTCTCCTTTCCTCCTCCCTCCACCCACGGTTTAGGGCTGCAATTCCTTTTTTTTTGGGGGTGCCATGTTACACGTGGGACAGGATTTGTGCACGGCCGCTAAGGAGTAGGTGGGAATCATGCCGTGAATGCGGAGAGGCAGGGGGACACGGAGCGCTAGGGGACCAGGTCAAGTGCCTGGGGATGGTCGTCATCGAAATCTTGAGAGGCTGGATTAGTTCCGGCATGAGATGGTCGGGATCTGTTCGGTCGGGATGAGAAGGACGAAGGGTGAGGGTGACGATGTGGGATCAGAAGGATGAGATGGTCGGGATCTGTTCGGTCGGGACGGGATGCAACGACAAGAGGAAGCAGAAGGAGAGTCACCGGGATAGGGCGGGATGGCTATCACGGATTGGCCTCAGGATGTGAAATCGAGAGGAGGAGGGGGTCGGAATGACAGTCAATCAGGTTGATGGTGCAGGGAATCGATGAAGTCATGCAGGGGTCAGAACGGCAATGCAACAGGGGTAAGGAACCCAGGTCGTGTAGGGGGTCCGGACAAAGTGGGGAAGTAGAGAAGAGATTGCAAGGCGGGAAAAGGGGCTCAGTGCGGAGGGAAGGGAACAGGTACGGAAAGGAGAGCAAGATAATGACCAAGGGCCTCAATCGCGAGAGGGATAGGGTAATTGTGGAGGATATCCAGGTGATGAAGAGAGAAAAGGAGGGACAGACGAAGAGAGGAAAAGAAATGTCAGATCCTCAGGGGCTACATCTGGTATTGGAGGCGGAGCTCGGAGACGATCCCAACGGAGGAGAGAAAGGCGTGGAGAAAGACCGGGGGGGGGGGGGGGGGGGGGGGGGGGGGGGGGGGGAGAGGAAGGAGAGACGGCAGACACAGGCGAACGAGAGAAGAGGATGGAAAAAAGTAGATTGGTGGGGGGGAACATCTGGAGGGGGGATGAAGGGCGCAACTTGGAAAGGTGGAATCGGAGAGGCGGAAGGGATGCAATGGAGAAGGACGAAAGGGAAAAAGGCGAGCGGGTACGGAAGAACGTGTGTGTGTGTGTGTGTGTGTGTGTGTGTGTGTGTGAGAGAGAGAGAGAGGGCGCATGAGGGAGGGCAAGAGAACGGAAAGTTAATGACCGTACGCACGCCCTAAAAGGAGAGAGGAAAGGAGAGAGGGGAGCAGAGCAAGAGAACAGAATAGGGAGGGAGGAAGCGATGGAGAGAGGGACAGTGGGGAGGAGAGAGAGAAAATGCCACTGGCATAATCGTCGTCGGGCACGATTCATTCTCATTTCGCACATTTCGTGAATGGTGCGGCAAGACCCTTAGTGCATACTCACATTAGGACCTTTTTACTTATTTCTGGAGGGAAATGCGGCCAGATACATCCAAGTCCGGCCGTAATTACGTCCGATACATTCAGAAGAGTGGTAGTGTGAGTACACCCTTAGTCGGACCCCGCCGCGCCATGCCACTTAACGAACGGATTTGCATGTACCGAATTGATACTGAGTGATCGTAGGGAAAGCAGCTCTGGCTACCACCATAGCTTGTCACTATTCATGCTGAGAACCGTACATGCGGAGAAGTTATGCAAATCCGTCGATGCAGTCTAAGGCCACTGTTTTTTTTTTTTTTTTGGAGGGCTGCGCCGCACTCTGCAGCAGTGCAATACAGAGGCAACGCTGAAGGGATCGAGCAAGCAAGCTTACCCGTACGACCCCTCCGTAGCCCAGAAAAATTAATTTAATATCGTGTGGTCCGATGGACCACGGATCAGATATTAAACTGATCAGAACAGATACTACACTTGATCTTAAGGCCACTGTTTTCACTGTTGTTCTTTTTTTTTTCTTTTTTTCTTTTTTTTTTGGCAAAAAAAAAAAAAACTATTGTTCTTCTTATCCGCCGTTGCCGTAGTCTTCCATTTCTCCTCGTCTGCATTTTCCTGTAGACATCAGAGAAGCTCCCTTCACCTCCTCTTCCATTTGACAAGAACGTAAAGAGCGAGGAGGCGACAAGCGAAGGGAGAATTCGAACAAAGTCCCCAAAAAAAAAAAAAAAAAAAGAATTCGAACAAAGGAGGAGGAAGACGCCTAGGGAGAATTCGAACAAAGTCCCAAAAAAAAAAAAAAAGATAAATCGAACAAAAGAGGAGGAGGACGCCTAGGAGGAAGTGGGCAAGAGGACAGAGGACGGGGAGAAGGAGAGGAGATCGCGAAGACGCTTACCCCTCACGTGACTGTCGGTACCCACGGGGCAATTGGTGGAATACGTAGAATACCCCCACGGAAAGAGAAGAATCTGGGGACGGGTCAAATGGCAAAATCGATCGGACTGCTAAGGGCAAAGGAAGGGAGGAGAGGGAAGAGGGGTCTCAGACCAAGGAAGGGGAGAAGAGACCCCTGAAAGAAGGGAACGAGAAAGCTCCGAAGGGGAAAGGCAAAAGTAAGAACAAGCACAGAAAACCGGCAGGTCTGACAAGGGAAAAATGGCCTAAAAAATCCGGACTAGGAGGAACAGGAAAGGAAAGTGGCAAGGAGGTTAAAAAACAAGGGGGAGGGAAAGAGGTCGAAGAGGAGCGGCCATTGGATGAAGGGGAAAAGATGGTGGGTGATGATGCAGCTGCCCTGGCAGCTGTACCAAATCCGGGAGTAGACTCAGGACGACCAAAGGAACCTAATGCCGAAAAGGAACCCGAAGAGAAAAGAACAACGAAAGAAACTTCCCAACATTCAGGGGCTGAAATGCAATGGGAAGCAAGTGACTCCAAGGGAGGAAACAATAAAGAAACAGACAAACGTCAGAGTGTCAGGGAAGAAAGCAAAAGTGTGGTGGATGAAGGGAAAGGGGAAGAGAAGGGTCTCGACAGGGAGTTGAAAGAATACCGAAGTGAGGAAAGTGGCGAAGTCCAGCAGAGAAAGATGGAGGGAGTGAAGGAGGGGAATGAGAATCAGGAGGGAGCAAAGGAGGGGAATGGGAACCAGGAGAAAAGGCGGGATAAGGATAGTGGAGGGGCGACGTGTAGGTCCCTCCTAGAAGGGATCGAGCTGTGGAAGAAGGGAGTTTCTCCCCTTACTGAAGGACTAACACAGAACAGGACAATTCTTTTTTTTTTTTTTTTTTTTTTTTTTTTTTTTTNTTTTTTTTTTTTTTTTTTTTTTTTTTTTTTTTTTTTTTTTGCCCACAAGTATGAGGCCGGGGACCTCACAATTCAACCCGCAGTTATCCCGGCAGCATCAGCCGGTTTCGCTTACAGCCATATGGCTGCGGTGCCACCATGAGCACAACAGAAAATGAACTAGGACACCTTTCTCAGTAACACCAAAATTTAACCAAAGCCTAAGACTCGACTTCATTCCTTCATAAGCCAAGACGGGAATTCTAGAGTGCCAGCAGGTCTAAAAGCGACCAATCGTGCCCCTATTGCCCATGTCTTGGAAAACCAGCACATTGCTTTGAACCCTTGCCTATACTTCGTTTTCCTGCTCCAATCTGCAACGATTGTATGTCTTATGTCTCTCTTCACCTTTTCGATGATGTCCTTCTGTGAAAGATGACAGTCCTGAAATACCTGGTCATTCCGATCTCTATCAGTGCTTCAAATATGATTCCCCTGATAACCTGCGCCACATATCCCCAGCCCAAGTTAGGACTGATATGGGGTGGGAGTATGCCCGATAAAACCCACTTCTCGTCCCATGGGAAAATGTCCTTGGTGATTTCTTTCCGGTGCTGCTCCCACCATTTCCACACTCTGCGCGAAAGTGGACACGAGAATCAGAGATGATTCGTAGACTCCCACGCCCAGTTACACCGCGTACATGTGGTACTGATATCCATGCCTTTGGCACTCAACCATACCGTTGAGGCTGTAACCAACAGGGATTGCAGCAGCAAGATACTGGCTTGTTTTTGAGATGGCAGACCCTTGAGCTGGCGCCAATGTGCGCACAAATCTTTCTCCACTATCGTGCCCAACTTTTGTTCTTCCCGTCGTCTTATCACAATATCTACAGGTTTCTGCTTGATTTTTTGCTGTTGTAGTGCAACCCCTCTTCTGGGCGAGTAGTCCTTCAGACTGATCAGTTTCTGAGTTCTAACGTCCCACCAACCTATAAGTCCAGGGTGAACAGACATCTCCGCAATTGTCCTACCCCCGGCCAATAGTTTAACTTGTGAACTCGGTGCTTCTGCTGCATCGTTGGCCAGTTGCGGTCCTCTGTTCCCTTCCCTGTGCAGACTTGTTTCTTCTGCTATGACTTGACCCAGACCTTTTGTCGAACTCACCTGCATTTCCCCCTTGAAACAAAGCATTATCGTATAAGGGGTTTCAACTGAGGTTGTCCAAACTTCTACCTCACTTCCATTATCCTTCGTTTCCTCTACCACTTTCCAGTATGTGGGAGTGTCACTATTGCTTCGGAGCTTCAACCAAGTATTAATGTTTCGATGGGAGCACAGAATGTCCATCCAATCTGTTGGTACTGCGTTCTGAATATCGGCTAATCGTTCCTCCACTAATCTCAAGCACCGTAGTTGAGTTCTCACCGACAGTTCAGTACGCCAGTCCCACAACTCCCTGTTCCACAAACCCCCCATTCTGACCACACCCCTTTATATCCAAGCTTTTCCAAAAGATCCGGGACTATCATTAGCTGAGAAGGGGGTTCCGACAGGGCTACATAACAGAGGGTTCTCAAAGATTGGTTGCATCAGAACTTCCTCCCACGAGGACGGCTGAACACGATAGGTGAGTAAAACCTTAGACCAAGCATACAAGATTCCTTTCCAAAAACACGATTTTGGTCTTTTGCAGCAATAAGACTGTATATATAGGCAGCTCCATACGTCGAATGGTTTTCTCAGATTCCACTCCTCAGATAAGATATATTCTGCCAGCCAAATCCAGGCGTGTTTGTTTTCTGCCAAAATTGCTTTAATGGGTCATTTGGCCAATAGAGCAACGTTCTGGCGCTTAGGATCAAGAATACCAAACCCGCCTTGTTCCCTGGGGAAAGTAATACAGTCCCATGCTACTTTAGAAAGGAAGCCTTCTCCCTCTTCCGCTTCTGGTTTCCATAAGAATCCTGCAACAGCCTTTTTGATTTGTTTGTACGTCTGTGACCCAAGTATGTGTAGTTGCAACGGGTACCATAGTACTGAAAAGGCTGATGCCGAAATTGCTGTAGCCCGACCCAGCAGAGATAAGTGTCTTGTGCAGTCTCATTTTAGAATTCTCTGGCATACCTTTTATTCCAATAACTGATCTTGGAGCGCTGAGTTGTCTGATAAAGATATCTGAATTCTCAGATATCGATCTGAGGCTTCAGTTTCTATTTGTCTCATCCCCCAGTCCACTTGGATTTGGAATTGAGCAGACAATAAATATACAGACTTGTTCAAATTTATAGAGGCCTCGAATAAGCTAGCATACTTATCTAAAACTTTTCGTGTCGCACACATGGTTCGTTTTTCATTAAGGCATGCTATCGTTAGGTCATCCGCCAGTGCACCCCCTTTCCACTGATAACTGACATTTCGTTAAAACTGACCTTTTTTTCTAAATTCACGAAATTGAGCGTACCAAGAAACAACATTTTTTAGTGTTTTTTGTCCCCATGATGTCGGATGATCCGATCATCGGGTGTCGTGACGACTCCCGATGATCTGACCATCGGATGTGTATGTTAACGGTACTTTACATTGAGGTACATCAGATGAACAAAGTGAGATAACCACTTTCTCACCCGATGGGCAACGAAATTTTGACTAAGTTCACTTTCGTGAATTTAGAAAAAAGTGTCAGTTTTAACGAAATGTCAGTTTCATAGTCATTGTGCAGTTCCAAGCCTGTAATTGAATTATTTTTTCTAATGTTATCCAACAGTATTTCGAGGTGTAGCACAAAAAGAAGGGGGGCCAGAGGACAACCCCGGCGTAAGAACCGAGACAATTTAAACTCATCTGACAGATGGTTATTGACTGAAACCATTGCAGTTGAGGTAGAATACATAACTGATATCCATCTGCAAAAGTTAGGTCCGAATCCCATGTGTCTTAATGTGGTCCCTACAAAGACCCAACCTACTTTATTGTAGGTTTTTTTCATATCAACCAGTAGAATAGCTATGTCTCTTTCCTCTCTAGCAATGATTTCCAGGGCTTGGATTGTGGCCGCGATATTGTCCATTATTGATCTATGTTTTACGAAAGCACCTTGGTCTGAGCCAACAAAAACTGAAAGATGAGGAGCTAGACGTAGTGTCAAGGCTTTGGCTAGGATTTTGTACGAGACATTAAGTAATGAGATCGGTCGCCAATTTCTAATATCTAGCTTGCTGCCTTTCTTATACAATAGGGTGATAATTCCTTGTTGCATGCCTTTCGAAAGAGCGCCGCCTGTTAAGACCCCATTATATATTTCAACAAGTACTGGACCCAAGGACTCCCACATGGCAATATAAGCCTCCACAGGCATCCCATCCGAGTCGACGCACTTGCCGTGTGCCATTTGTTCTGCTGCCTGTTTAATTTCTTATACCGTAAAGGGGCGGTCCAGATTCAGTCTTCCTACTAACGGAAGACGTACAGTTGAAACATCCCAAAATGTAGAGTTTTCTTTTAGATATGTAGAGAAAGAATATGAGGGTCTTCTTGTAGTCAAGATATCCTGGAAATACAACTGTGCATACTCAGACATCCCCTGCGGGCCTGACCTTGTAGGAGCAGAACTTGTAAAGGGGTGGGTTAATTCTCTGATCAGCGGCTTAGTTTTCTGCAGCAATAACCTCCGAAACGTTTCCATTTCCATTCTATCATTAGAAATTATTCCTTTTGGTGAAAACAATTTTTCCATTTCTCCTGTTGGGCTATTTCTAAATTGTCTAATTCGGTAAGAGTTCTTTTCCTAACTGTCGTCCAGTAGACGTCGAAAACCGGATGCTTCCCAAAGTTATTTTCTGCTTCCTTAACTTTTTTTTTCCATTTCTGTTGAATTGCATTGCCTTCTATTGCCTTTATTCGAGAAAAAACCTCAAAATAGTTCTTCATTATGCTCATCCCTGTATCAAACCAGGATTCCATGTCTGAAAAATAGATCTCGTGCCTTCCGCCACTTATCCCAGTGTTTTTTTGCCCAGTTAAGCATGTTGTTATCTTTCAGGTGTTCTGTGTTAAGACGAAACAAGGCTTTAGCAGCGCTGGAGGGGTCTCCAACGTCAAATTCTGCGGTAACTGGACAGTGGTCCGATATCGAAGAAATACCTAATTTTACCCTCATGCATCTGTCCCAAATTGTTCCCCTAGTGAGAAAGAAATAAAATCTCCTTCTTACTGGGGGAGACTGGGAACCATACCAAGTATATTCTTTTGAATCTGGATGCATGGTACGATAGGCATTTGTCAGCTGTTGGGCTTCCATAAGTGCTAGTAGCAGACGACCGTCTGCTCGTACCGGCTCTGTGGTTGGCGAGTCAAGGTCGGGGTTCAGAACTGTATTCCAGTCGGCTGCAATGAGTAGATTCGGACTATTTGGAAGGATAACAGGTAACTATGGGATAAATTTTAGCCTTTCGTTATAAATAGCAGGAACATATACTTACATGACAGTCCAAACTCCTTCTAAAATTTCGAATTGTAC